TCTTCTTGTCAGTCAGCTCGACTCACTCTCCTCACTGGAGAAACGAAATCTGATCTGTGTGATGCGACTGTCGTTCAGCACGCTGCATTGAGCAGCCGCGTTCAGTTTTTAATTGTGTCTGTTCTTTTACTGAACTAAATGATTTTTATTTCTATAAAAAACCAAAACGACGGTGAGTGTCGGTGACGCGGTGGGCAAGTGACGTAACTGCGGCTTAACACCGGTATCACCGTCAGCACCGTCTATCACGGCAAGCCTACCACTTTGTTGGAACCACAACTGTTTCTGAGGAACTACATTGTTTGGTGGAAGAATACTGTTTTTATTTATATAATTACTAAAGCAAAAAGCCTCAAGAAGCCGTGGTTTACAGTGAATTTATAACAGCTAAGGGGCGTTGTTAGGTACGACGCGCGAGTGCCTAAAACCCCCTTAGCTGTTATAAATTCACTGTAAACCACGGCTTCACGGGGCTTATTGCTTTTATAAAATGGTTATTCCATATACATAGCAAATAAAGTGTAATGATATAACTAAAACCACCAAACAATGTAGTTCCTCAGAAACAGTTGTGGTTCCAACAAAGTGGTTGCCGAGCAACACACAGAAGTAAACAAAGGTGTATGTTTGTAGTGTAATTTACAACAGCTTCGAACGTGGCTCAACCAATCAGAATCAAGGACCGGAATGGTTATTCCATATACGTAGTAAGGTTTCACAGAATAAATCAGAGCAAATAAAGTGTAATGATATAAATAAAAACCACCAAACAATGTAGTTCCTCAGAAACAGTTGTGGTTCCAACAAAGTGGTTGCCGAGCAACACACAGAAGTAAACAAAGGTGTATGTTTGTAGTGTAATTTACAACAGCTTCGAACGTGGCTCAACCAATCAGAATCAAGGGCCGGAACAATTCGTTTTATAAACTTTATTTGCTCTGTTTTATTCTGTGAAACCTTACTACGTATATGGAATAACCGTTTTATAAAAGCAATAAGCCCCGTGAAGCCGTGGTTTACAGTGAATTTAGAACAGACCGGCGATCCATTTTTGGTCATGACCCACTAGTTGAGAACAACTAGTGCAGACAATTTGGGTTGCAACAGAGCGCAAAAGAGGGTTTTCGAAAAGTATCCAATTCTGATAAATAGTCACAACCAGAGCACTGAAAAATAGAGCTCTGAAAAGCCAAACAACAGTGCAACTTACAACCAGAAGTCTTTGTATGTGCGAGTGGAGGCAAAAAGGGCATTTTGTTTGTGATATCTCTATACTATACTACTATATCCACTTGAGAAATACATATACAGAACACTTAAAAGCATTTCTAGAAAAATAAGTCATTGTCAAACACCTAGGTCAGGCAGTCTTTAAAATCTCAGACTAATTTTGGACTGTAATGTCTCACCGGGAGGCTGGACGGGCGGTCCTGCTGAGTAAGACCCATGTCATCGTGGTTTGGTTTCCCAGACTGGCCCCTGCTACCATATCCCTCCTGCAGAGTCTCCTATGGTGAAAAGAGTTTAATTTAACTAAATTAAACAAGAAAAATAAAACAATCATGCAACTATTGAAGGGCTCAAACTGCCCAGATAGTTGTGTCATGGTACTGTACATTAGCAGGCCTCGATTCACACAGAATAAGGTAATCAGACAGTTGCAGACAGCATGATGACACCAGCCCATAATTTAGCTTCATCCACAGACTTGTGATTCACACAAGCAGAATGGGCTGTTTACGCAGAAATGCTGAGGCATGTCTAACGGCTGAAACGCAGACTGTGCACTGATATCAACCGTAAAAGTACGCAATCCGCTTGAGGGGATAAAAAAATGCATTACAGCAATATATTTAATGGCCCTCATGCCAATTCTGAATTCTGAAGGCTGAATGTCCAAATAACTGGATAACAGCACTATGAGACGTGATACTACAAAACTGCAAGAAAGATATTAGAAAAATATAGTAAAAACAGTAATAATGTGAAATATTATTAAGTTAAAACAACTATTTCAATCTGAATACATTTTCAAAATTTAATCAGGTCTTCAGTGTTGCATGATCCTTCAGAAATCTTTCTATTAAAATGATATGGTGCTCAAGAAACATTATCAAATGTTGAAAACAATGCACAGCTTAATATTTTTGTGGAAACCATGATACATTTTTCAAGATTCTTTGATTCATTTTTTTAAGCATTTATTTGAATCAGAAATGTTCGTAACATTAAAAATGTCTTTCTGAGGGTTTGTCCACTAGATTGTTTATATTTCATTGCTACATGAACATCTGTGTTCCTTTGTACTTTTCTTCCACAAATCTGGAGCAGCACTTTACTCTGTACACTTTTACTGTACATTTTGTATGTTGTTAACATTCATTGATAAGAATAAATATGTCTTGATCAGCAAATCAGCATATTAGAATGATTTCTGAAGGATCATGTGACACTGAAGACTGGAGTAATGATGCTGAAAATTCAGCTTTGACATTACATTTTAAAATATATTAACATGTAAAATAGTTATTTTTATATATTTACAATATTACTGTTTTACTGTATTTTTGATCAAATAAATGAAGCCTAAGTGAGCATAAGAAACTTCTTTAAAAACAAAAAAAAAAACTTCCTAATTATTCCAAACGTTTGGTATTAAAACCATAACAGCCATAAATTCCAAAACACTTTTGCTGTAAAATTATAGCCAATATGGTAGACATTACTGACAAAACCTGTGTCAGCCAATCAGTTTACCTAACTGAAAGCTGACAAGCAGAATTTACAACTAAGTGTCAAGAAAGAAATTAATACAAATCTGTGTTCTACAGAAGGAGAAAAAAGTAATTTGGGTTTGAACTATCCCTTTAAAGTCTATAGCAATCCGGGCCCAATATCCCAATAAGACTATGGGTATCACGCCAAAAGAAAATTTATCACAGCATCTTTTGAGGAAAAGTGGATACTTGACTTTCCTCAGCAAATACACTTCAGAAAAGAAAACAGACTTGAAAAAAGGGGTTGAAAGTGTTCCAACTAAGGTCGCCCTGCCTGCAATTCACTCATGTATACAAACATCACCAGAACTCCCTCCCCGCTCACTTCATTCAACAGTGGGAAAAAACACTGGGGGGCATTCCCGAGCCAAACGGAGCTGTATGTGTGTGTGTGTGTGTGTGTGTATTGACTCTGGGTCATGGCCAGGCCACACACACAGACGGCTGTTTACAGTTGGGCCATTACATCACTGCTCAGGCATGTGCTGATTCAGAACCATAACAGATGCTTAACGGACAGCGAGACCTCCGAGATTCACAGCGTCACAGGAAAACTATGTGATACCTCCCGTGTGACACATGCTTTTTCTCTCAAATTCACTTTCACTATGCCATTTAGCGCTGTCACAGTAACAAAAATTCCAGTAGTCGATAAAACTGTTGGGAGAATTTTACTACACTTGATATATAGATTTAAATAGCACCGCAAAATGTCCATTAAACGTACTCCTAGTTAAATATTAATGCGTCGCATTAAATTAAAACATTACATGAAACCTTCATCTGATTGAATGCTAAATACAGGTGTAAAAAACAAGGGTCCAAAACATTATAAAATTGTCCCAGTTTAACCACACGTCATCAAAAACACGTGACCAGACACAAGATGCGTCATGGACAACAGCAAAAGACTGCATTCTCGCCTGTTAATGATCCACTGCACTAAAATAAGGCTTTTAACAAGGCTTTTGTTGGTTATGTATGGCTTTAAAAAAATAACCTTTCAAAAAAAAAAAAAAGATCATTTACAGCATATCACTGCACATCAGTCATAGAGTCCAACTATTAAAGTCACAATGAAAATAGTAGAATCACATATTTTCTTTCGTATTGTGACGTACATCTGAGTACAATGGATTATTGAAAAAGAAACAAATGTAGGGAGGGCACTTGCTTCTATGCATCAGTTGTTGATTGGATTTTAAGATGTGGGCGTTGCATTCAAAAATGAATACGAGCTTGCAGTCAATTATGGAGAGGCGGGATTTAAGCAAAGTAAATGATTGGAGAAGATCAGCATACAACACCGGAGAGAAGTCTTGTTTTTTTCACTGGAAGATTGAGTTATGACATTTTGATTAAACACAAATAAATTACAAATATTAAATTATACATATACAAGGATGAATTGTTCACAATAAGACCTATGAGTTTACAAAATAGACAGTTAACATATTAGGGATTGTATATTTAGTAGAAGGATGCAGTTGTTTAATAAAATAACATTTTAACTAGGTTGTGTGATCACCTATAAAATACATTCAGTTCTGTCATGACAACTCTCGGAGGGATAGCATGGTAATGTACATGACAATGTTAATGTATTTGGTCTTGGCGGAATAGATCTGCTACGCTGCTGCTGCGGCAGAGACAGTACCGAGGCTTGCTACTGCCAATACATCCACAACATGCTGCTGTGAGCATGTAAGAAATATTGCTGCTGCAAATATAACATACATGAAATAACCCCCATATAGCGTACATGAATCACCTCATAGCAGATCTATACAGGTGGAGCTGGGGAAGGTGGAGGGTTTCTGAAGCAAGCTGCAACTGCTACGGCAAGCGCTAGTCATATATTTGAATGTTGAGCAGCGAGCTCATTGGCTACAGATACAGGAGAGAACCAATCAGCTGTGCCATGTGGCAATGATGTCATTAGGTCAGATTGAGTTAGACCTATCGGACTGCGTCATCTAGAGTTTCATGCCAGAACTATTTATGACAATATTCACAATCAACTAAAAATAATAAGAAGAGTAAACTGAATTCTTTATTGGTGTTTCATCTATGTAGCTTTTAGGGGAGGGGGGATGGATTTTTCCCTTCTCTCTCTCTCTCTTTTTTCTGTTTATGGATGTTTGATAGGCTTACAAAATAAAAACATAAAAAACATCAATGGAGTAGCTCCAATTGCCTCAGGAAGGAGTTTTAAGGTCAATATGTTCTGATTTGAGTCAGAGCTTTCTGCTTCATTTCTTCATATAATTCATGTTTTCTTTAAACCGAGGGTCTGTGTTGAACGAGACGTGTTTACACAGGGTGTGTCTAGATGAAAACGTCGCTGTAAGAAGACAAACGCATCTGAGACTCGTAAAACTCAACATGTCCATGAAAACATCAAATCCATCTTTTTATGGTTTTTGAGGCCCTTGTGGCTCCACGGTTTCAGCACAATGATTAACGGATCGTTCTTTGAGCTACAGATAAAACGGAAAACATCCCTTCAGTGTGATTAATGCGCTATTGTAATGGCTTGTCTGAAGTTGCATCATCCCTGAGCAGTTTGATGTTTAGTTGGCATATTGTCTCTTTAAAGACAACATGAAACCAAATTTGACAGTATTTACTTTCTTAATAAACGTCCCTGGTCTTATTGTGCCTGATTCATCGGTGCATGTTATTGTAATTTTCCTAATCTTTCATTAAAACGTAATGCCTTTCTCTCCCCAGAAATTACTTTTTTTTCTGCTGATTGTCCCCAAGGCCATGAGGGAAGAGAACAATAAAATTACCCAATAATATCATAGTCATCTAACAGTGATCCTTTCAAATCCCAAATTGGTCTACTAGAAAGTGTGAATGCTGTTTTCATGTTGTCTTGCCTTTAAATCACACACACAAAAAACCTTGTCCTGAAACCAGCCAGACTTTTATAAATGGTATGGTCAGCAGATGCTGCGAGACTGGGTCAGCTAGATGTACCTTTCATGGCCAGCACATGGTGTTAATTGACGATATAAGCCAAGCGGAGGAGAACGTCAGGCTGGGAGTCACTATGAGACCACTCTGTGAAGCTCTAATGAAAGCCAGCGCTTTGATTTAACGGCTGATTTTAACCAGACTAAGGACGGTGACTCCGGGGATGATGAGGAGAGCTTGTTTAGCAGCTAACATTAAACAGCCTTCAGGCGATTCGGCGATGAACCATCATTTGAACGCCGCATCCTAATTCACATACTACATCCTAAGTGGTATGTCAGATAAAAAAAGTGTATCACAAATCACATTATGTTGAAAAATGTATGCAAACTTGCCCAGATGGTTTCTTTTTGAGTCGCCTTTTGAGTGAAGGGCATTTACACTCTAGAGGAAAGTATTTAACCACTAGAAAAGGCTAAAAGCTGGGTCAGTTTGAAATCAAGTGGGAATACAGTGATTTCTGAAACCATGACTGGACTCGTCTGTATGAAATTCTCATTGGTCAACAGGGATTGGTTTCATCAGCCGTTCTTAAGTTATTACTTAAAGGCAGGGTATGTGATTTTTCAAAAACACTTTAGAAAACTGATTCGGGCCGAATAGCAAAACAAACTTGTAGCCAATCAGCAATAAGGGGCGTGTCTACTCGTCTCGTGATGTGGAGGAGAGAGCTTTCAGTGCATGGGACGGACATTAGCTGAGCCGAGCGACAGAAAGATTAGAGATGGCGGATAAAAAACAAAAGAGGAAAACTTCTGTGGAACGATAAGGCAAGAAGTAGGACCCGTGTAAATATCGGATCAGCTTTCCAGCGCTGTTTAAATCGTTCCCTGTCCACTATATAGTGCACTACGTGCCATTCACTGTACAGAAAATACTAATTCTGTGGACAAGTGACTGATTTCAGCCGCGGCTTCAGCGTCTATTTTATAGTGTAGGGGGCGGGCGCTTCGGATTCTAGAGAGCATTTGATTGGACAGAAAGTTTGATGAGAAGCTGAAGTACGATGTGACGTCAAAAAAATTGTTGAGCCGTTTTGGCAGAAGTGACGAACTGCAAGCTTTGAATGCTTATATCTTCTAAATGCGAATGTTGTCACTGTTTTGGAGCACACTGCCTTATAGATAACCTTAAGACTAACATATTGATACTAACACCCAAAAAACTTTAATTTTGATTTCATGGGGACTTTAAGGCAGAATGTAGCTAGAATGTAAGCTTTGTAATGCAAAGCTATTTTGAAATGCTGTGAATTTCAGTTTATCCTCAATTCTAACTTATTTTGCCTCACGTAACTAACGGTAAAATTTTTTCCACTTAAATACGCTACTACATAACTGATATAAAAAAACATCAGAAATTACCTTTGTTTGCTATGTTGTCATTTTATTTCACATGCACAACTCAGACCGATGCACACAGAGGTGTGGTTTTTAGGTAGGGTTTGTGTTGAAGAGTTGCTAATTTATTCACATAATAAAAAATGATATTCATTATACTCTCTCTCTTAAAGGGTTAGTTCACCCAAAGATGAAAATTATGTCATTAATTACTCACCCTCGTGTCGTTCCAAACCCGTAAGACCTTTGTTCATCTTCAGAACACAAAATATTTCTGATGAAATCCGAGAGCTCTTTGACCCTCCATAGACAGCAAGGGTCCTACCACGGTCAAGGCACAAAAACGTAGCTAGGAATTGTTGAATAAAGTCATTAATTTTGTTTTCTTTGCACACAAAAAATATTCTCGTAGCTTCGTAAAATTACAGTTGAACCATTGATGTCACATGGACTATTTTACTGATGTTCTTACTACCTTTCTGGGTCTGGGAACATTTCAGTTGCATTGCTGTCTATGGAAGGTAAGATAGCTCTCGGATTTCATCAAAAATATCTTCATTTGTGTTCTGAAGATGAACGAAGCTTTTACGGGTTTGGTACGACATGAGGGTAAGTAATTAATGACAGGGTTAACTATTCCTTTAAAATGTACTCTTGGACCGTTACTCCTGGTCAGAGGTTTCGGTGAAAATTTTGTTTATGCATACTTTTACATTTCAACTAAGTTTAATGGTGCGACACAAAAATATTTTGTAAGTTTGTATAAGTTGTAACTTAGTGCCCCTTTACAACAAAACTAGGCTAAGTTGTAACCTATGCACAGCTGGTGCAACCGGCTCCGGATGTCTACAAGTGCACTGCAGCAAAAGTTTCCTCAACTACTGGCTGCAGGTTGGAGCGTTACTTTTGCAAATCTTTGCGTTTTTTCTCTACGTCCTTGTAAACCCCCAATAAAATCCATGGACTGGCACCATTCCCTGGCATAAACTCCAGGATGGAAGCATCCTAATACTACCCCTAATGTTGTGACAGCTCTCTCCCACTCAAGTCAATAATTAATAAATTTAAATAAAACGAATTTAGATAAATTTAGAATTTAAATCAAATTAATTTAGCTGGGTCTGGATCAGTGAAATGTAGACGGAATTTTGTGAAGGTTAACAGAATTTGTATATTCTGGTGGCAGTTTTGTATAGCATTACACTTTGATATTATAAAATGTTCAATAAAATATGTTTGGAAAGCGGTTATTTAGGATTGGTTCATTTGCTAGCTGGCATAATAGCTTTATTATGTTGTAGGATGTTTTTTATTCATTATAACCTCTCTACTCCCGTATTCTATTCATCGCATTTTGTCAAGCCCAGTTCTGCTTTCTTTCGCCTGCGAAACTTTGATGAGCAACGGTGAATGTAACCACAGCTTAAAAGAATGTACTTTCCCTTCATCAGTGGATAACAGCTTGTAGTATTAGTATGCTAATTGGGATACAGCCAAGTTCTTAACACTTTGGAGTTCAAAGTTCCGCCTGAAGAAAAAGACCTGAAAATACGGCAGCTCCAAAAGTCTGAGACCACAAGTGAAAAGGCTTCTGTCTTGCATTCTATTCTAACTGAATACAAATTTTTCCATTGCAAATTGTTTTCAGTGTAACAATTTGAATAAAAAGTTAAACTCAAAACATCTTAGTATTTGGGTTTTTCCCTTTTTGCTTCAATGAAAGCTGCATGAACTTCCTTTTGTCCAAAGGAGTTCACATGACCAGTGCCACAAATTTTCTTATTTGATTAGCACTTGAATAGTATTTATTTCGTCTTCAAGTTAAGTAACTTTTTTCAGTTTAAATTGAAAATTCCAAAACTTTCTCAATGTTCTCTCAGACATTTAGAGCCCACTGTATCTCTCCCACTTGCTGCAGTGTTTCTCCGCCCCACAATCTCTTCTGTCACAGAGGAAGAAAATGAAACCGTTTTTCTCAATCAGCCTCAGTGTCATATAAGAGAAAATGAAAATAATGCCTTTAAGGTCCAGGGAATAAACAGAGAGTGTGATAGCAATATGAGGCGCACGGCAGTGCCGTCCTCACTGATATTACACACACACACACCCCTGAGACATCCACTCAAGGCCAGTTTCTTATTATTGCTTTCTCCAAACTACTGGAGTGTGTGTGCTGCAGCCTGTTAAGAACAAGCTGTGTGTAATAGAAAAAAGACTAGAGAAAAGCTGTGTTTCTCTAGATACTCAACCATGTGAGCGAGAGAGAGTGTGTGAGAGAGTAAAAGGGGTGGAGCTAATTGCTATATTGTGCAGACTTGAAATATAAATTGAATTAAATTTTTTATTACTTTAATGCAGAAAAATCTCATTCTTGACGCAATGCAAAAAAATTGCATCCTCATTATGCATTACAAAAACATATTTACATTTATATTTAAATATAGTAGTAAGGGTTGTACTGCCTTATGTTGGTATTAATTAAAAAAAATTAAAATTGTGTGATTTTTTCACATTACAGTAATGAGAATGTGGGGCTGAAATGAATTGTCATGAAAGTACTTAAAGGTCCCCTGAAATGCTTAGAAACACGCAGCGTTACTCTATGTGTTGACGTCATTTTAACTGAAACAGGAAGACCCCGCCCCGCCCATTTTTAAAATAGCCAATAGCGTTCGCTTATATCACAGCTTGGGCTAGAGCCGTTCAGAGCCGTTGCATTTTGATTTCATGGGGACTTTAATGGTCCTAAAAGATAGTCATCATTTTCTTTATGCTAAATATTCTTTCTTTCTTTCTAAAATATTTCTAATATATGACATTCAGGAGATTATATCAATAATTTCCAAAGCTCAGCGTATGTCAGGAATACTGTTGTGGCACACATGACTCAAAAGCTGATATCTCATTGGTCAGAGAGTTTTTCCCCACAATGCAAACTTCTTTTTAAAAAAAGATCTAGTGAAAATCCTTTTGAGGGTCTTCAGATGAGGACAAGGACCCTTTAGTACCGATTTAGCAGCCTGAATGCTTACCTGTTGTGTTGGAGCGCGCTGCTGCATGTAGTGGGGTTGAGAGGGGGCTGCAGACTGATGCTGTGGAGGACTGAAGTATGGGGGCTGACCCTGTTGACAGTAGCCGCCCATTCCCTGTGGCCCATATTGAGCCGGCATCTGCTGAGCAAGACAAGGACAAAAACACTCACAGACAAACATTCTCAAATGCTTCACATGGCATGTCACGGCAAGAAGGACGATTATTATTCATCTGTGAAGTATTTTAAATGGTGATCCACCCCGGAACATTAACGGACTACTTTACAATGCTAATCCGATCTGAAACGTCTCTGTCTGGGGCGTGACATCTCAAGTCAGGAATAAAAGATTCTCACAGTGCTGGAACAGGCGGTGCTTGGGACTGACAACCACATTTATCAACAGGTGTGACTACCAAATTACCCTGTACTACATACAGGACAGAAGCGGATCTAAACAGCTAAATCATCTAAACAGACAGTCCACTCTAAAAAAATAAAGGTTCTTTATTGGCATCAATGGTTCTATAAAAAAAATTTAAAAATACATAAATATCCATGGAACCTTTCAAATGCAGAAAAAGGTTCTTTATAGTCAAAAAAGATTGTTTAGATTTCTAAAATCTTCTTCAAAATGGTTCTTTTAGAAACTGTTCACTGAAAGGTTCTTTGGGGAACCAAAAATGGTTCTTCCATGGCATCACTGCAAAAACACCCTTTTGGAACCTTTAATTTTAAGAGTGTAGAGCTGTCAATGCAGCTTTAAAAAAACATATACAATACGTATGTGCCTTTTGATGATATTTAATATATTGCTCAGTGTCTAAAATGTTTTTCACCCTGAGGAACCATCATTTTGACAAGAAAAAGCCACTGTAGCCAATTCACATTAAAATGTTTAATACTTTAAAAAAATTAAATAAAAAAAATCAAATACAGTATAATTCTAGTTAAAAATAAATCAATGCATCTCAGGGATTTCCATGAACACACCTGAGATGATGCAAACTGATGAATTGATTGAAAACTCTGATTCAGTGACAATGACAGTTTGAAGACACTATTAAAACATCTGATCACTCATGAGTCATGAGACAAGGAAGTTGACTGTGAATCGAGACGCTGAAATACCGTATATCATGAGTTGCATGTGTGTAAATGAGGAAGACGGCGCCGTGTTTCACTCTGAAACCAGCAGTGCGCATATTTATGTGCCTGTAAATTGCCAAAATTGAAGCTGGATAGTTTCATGTTAGAAAATGAAGAAATTAAAATGTAAGTACTACTATTCTAATTTTACAGTTGTACTATAAATTAAAATGTCATTTTTTTTATTAAATACTCGTTTTGTTTACAATAATAGTATTATTGCATTTTATTTAATAATGATCACAATAAAAAAAATCCATTATTTTACAGTCAGTCTGATGAAATGGTCAAAAAACAGTGGAAATGTGACATATAAAAATGTCCTCATATCGCAGAAAAATAAAATATGACGTCAGGTTTTCCAATATCATTGAGCTCTACTGTGCAGCACTTTGTATTGTGTCTTTAAGGATTAAAATTTTATTCCGTTGTTTTTTAGCAACTCCTGCTGCTTTTATTCTCTTGGATTTTTCCAGCCAGACACTTAGGTGTTTAGTCTTGCTTTCCAACCAGAATATGCTGCTATTTTCTGTCATTTTTCAGCTTGAGAGAGATTGACAGCCCTAGCATTAGTGATTGACAGCAAAAAAATATCCCGCTAAGTGCTTACATCAGAAAACAGACATCTATTTGTCCACAGCATTGCTGTTGATACAGCCCATATGAGTTGTGCATCCAGTTGAGAGTAGGTCTACAACTACTAAATGATAATAAACGATAATTAAAATAATCAACAACAAATTTGGTAGTCTGTGTCTGCTGAAAAAAAATCCACCGGTCATATAATTTCACAATGGCGAATAATGCATTCATGTGTACAAAACGAATTATGAACAATAGCATAGGATATTGAGAATGTTTTATATTAAGCACTTCAAACAAAAGTAGTTTACTTTACCAGTCAGGAGCTTTGACTAAATATGTATTTTGTTAAAATATTTTTAGACACTGAATGCAGGTTTAAAATTCAACACATAACACAAATAATTGTGCTTTTATGAGAGCAGTCACTGTAAAGGATTATGGGAACGAGTGTGTTCCCTCTAACAATTAACATTTAGTCTGTGCTTTCATTTTTGTTTATTATAATTTTTAATTTAGTAATATTAATGTCTCCTTTAAATGTTAAGTAATCCTTTGTTTTTTGGTTTAGAATGTAATTTTATATTTGAACCCTTTTTCCCCACATATATAGCATCATTTGCATAGTATAGCATTATTTGCAAAGCATTTTTTTCATAAATAATGCATAAACATTTATTTATTTATTTTAATTTTTAATTAGTAGGTTTTGGGATTTTTCATCAAATTAATCGACAGTCCTAGTTGAGAGTCGCTGGTTGTCAGTCTGTTTTAAAACTAAACTGTGTCTGAACACATTCATATTTAGCACTCCAAACAGGACTGACAACTGTATTCTGCTGCTGTGTGAACGTAGCCAGTGAGGGATGATGGGAGACATCTGATCACCGAGGGTCCCCGTGGGTGTGTTAGTGCTTTAGTAATCCACAACTGTTCCCCCTCCTCTGATTCCCGACAAGCTGTTATTGTGACGCTCTTATGTAAGAGCTTTTCAAGGCAACAGCTGCCATTGGCACGCTGTCCTCCCATCTGAGCCCCCCTTCATCCACTGTAATTCTCATTTGTCATTCATACCAAACAGAAAACAAATCCACGAACCATGATGATGTGTTTTTCCCGCTCATCTCTCTAATACATGCAGAAGTATGTCAGCGACGGTACGTGCACATACACTCACGAGGCTCAGATGGGAATTGTATTGAGAGCTGTGTTCTCTGAGCTTCTTTAATGAGGAAACGTAAGTCAAGCAAGGACAAACCCTAATCTACACTGCAAAAATAATTTCCTCAATCAGTTTTCCATTAGAAAGTAAGTCGAAACCATAGCCTTGTGGGCAGCAATGCCTTGGGTGACCCGAGTTTGAGTCCCGGCTTGAGGTTCTTTGCCAATCCTGCTCCCCTTTCTCTTTTCCTGTTGCTTCCTGTCTCTCTCTCCACTGTCAAAGTCCAATAAACATATATACACACACACCCACCCCCTATCAGTCAAAAGTTTCATATAATATATATTTAGTATATCTTTTGTTGATTTTGATTGCTTCCATTGTCCTCATTTGTAAGTCGCTTTGGATAAAAGCGTCTGCTAAATGAGGACAATGGAAGCAATCAAAATCAACAAAAGAGCAATGATATGCAAGTGCTACAACAAGTCTCAGGTAGCTTAACACAGTACACGTAGCAAGATTTTTTAAATTTTTTATTATATAATAAATAAAAAGAAAACGAATAGAATAGAAAAAGAATAGAGTAAGCTAGTGTTAGAGGCCTTTTTTGCTTTTGTTAATTGTATAATAAATAAAAAGAAAACAAATAGATAGAATACAAAAAGATTAGAAAAGCTAGTGTTAGTTTTTTTAAAAAGAAAACAAGCAGTAAATGAATAGAGTGCAAGTCTAAAAGGGACAAGTTTTTTTTTTAAGAATAGAATTAGAATAGAGAGTGCTAGAGTTAGAGGGTCAAATAAAGATAATCTAAGTATAACCTGTCTTGGCAAGGTTGAGTTGAAGGTGATAGTCCTTCATCTAGCAAGAAATGTCTGTTAGACAAGCTGAGATGTGAACAGCTATCATCAGATCATCAGGATGGAATGAGAGGTAGAGTTGAGTGTCATCAGCATAGCAGTGATGGAAGGGATGTGTTTTTAGCTGATTCTTAAAGATGGCTAAGGACTCAGTTGCTCGGATTGAGTTGGGCAGGTCATTCCACCAGGAGGGAACATTTAATTTAAAGGTCTGTGAAAGTAGATGTTCACTTGCAGAACGCAAGCTTCTAGAGGGCACATAAGTCTGAAGTAATGAATTTAGGTAAATGGGTGCAGAGCCAGTGGTAGTTTTGTAGGCAAACAA